GTCTGTGGTAAAAACAGAATAAAACATGATTAGTCTTGGGTTTCAAAGAAAACAGGGTTCTTATAGTTAAGGCAAATTACTTTTCAGGACCTCTTTAATGTTACTTGAAATGAAATTTCAGACCAACTTCACAAAAAAATACAAATAAATAAAAATAAGTGAAGAATAGGGAATTTTGATCAACATAAATATTCCCTTAGCTGTAACCTTACCTTGACAAACTTCACAAGATGTTCAATGGCTGCTCTGGCTGAGAGTTTTCCTGGTCTCTTCCGGCCATGAGGTGACGGTGGCAGGAGGTGCACAAGAATCAGAATGGATGACATGTCACTGTCCCATCCTGGAAGAAAAGATGAAATAAACATAAGCTAACAGAACTTCTTTGCAACCGTGTTAACACTTCCAGAGGAAGCTTACCAAACAGTGACGGCAGAAGGAGGCGCACTTATATTGAATCAATTTACATAAAATTATGTTACATTAAACACCGTCTTTATAATCCAGTCCAACTTACCATTTTGCACCTCTGTTGTGCCTTCAGCATTGTGAAGAAGGTTCTCAAGGTCATCAGACTGTGTGAGACCACGGCTTTGTTCGAGGACTTTCTGCTTGTAGACAGTGGGCCACTTCTCCAGGAATTTTGCAGAGATGGCTTCCCCAAACATCAATGTAAAATCTTGCTCAACCTGGAGAAGAGATGAAGGTTTTAAAAATCATTTTGTTAAACTTTCTCACGCCCACCTCAATTTAAACTTTATAAAAATAGGTTAAGCTGAAGTGAAGATAAGCATACCAATCCTCCCATGTCCAGGAATCTTGGGAAGTCCAAAAAGATACCAGGTGACTTCACTGGGTCATGAATCATCTTCTGGCGATAGTTGAAAGTCTGTTTCATCTTCCTCATTACAGTTCCTTCATCAGTTGTGTGCTTCATCAGCGCAATGGCTTCAGAACACAAGCTGTCTGTCAAAAGGCAGTCTTCTTCTCTCAAACAGTCTCTGTCAGTTGTTGGTCCCCCTAAAAAAAACATTATATGAATGGGACACTCGATCTTAGGATTTAATAAATAAGGCTTGGGAACCTATTGTGCAGTTTGGTTGTAGGATAAAATTTGTACAAGTATAAATACACATACCTGTTTGGGTTTGTGACAGTCTGGGGACCTTCTTTTGTCCATTAGAAGCTTCCCTCTGGACAAACTTCAGTCTCCAAGCCAGATACCCACTCCCATCTTCTGCATTGTAATAATGCTCCTAAAAGTAGGTGAATGATAAATGTTTTTAAAGCTGCGAAAGTAAAGACAACCGTGAATGATAGTAGCTATGATTTACAGATTTTAGTTCCCATTGTTTGAATTACATAAATAAAATCTCTTCACAATGTTTATTCTTCAAGCTGCAGTAGGTCAACACTGGAACAATAAACTCTACAAAAGTTTTAAAATTGGAAAGTTAAAAACAAGTGGCACAGATGCAGGGGATGCAACAGAGAAACATTTTCAGTTCTACTCAAACCATAGCCAACAAGTTGGACTTCTGTTTTGAACTTACATAGCCAAATCTGCTCTTAGGATCAGCCAGGTAAGGGAACAAGGTAATAATACCCTTTGCATAGTCCTCTTTGATACGTCTGGAGGGACTTGTCCTATATTGACACAGAAAAAA